GCAATTCTGCAATAGTAACAAAATTTAAACCAGTTGTGGTGTAATAGCAAAAGGGAAAATAAAAATTTTTAAAAGCCTTATCCAGAGAAAAGAGCAAAACAGTAATTAATCATTTATTGCTGAGTACAGAGGCATTTGGCTAAAGGTCTCTGTTCTACTTGTTAGTAGATCAGTGAGTTTCTATGTAAGTGCTAAATATCTGAACAATAACATATCTGTATAGATTCAGTTTAAAAGAAATTTTTACAATCAAAAGTTTTTAAAATACTGTACTATTTGCATAAACACTAGTCTTAATGAGGTGTTCCTTTAGTATCCAGCAGAAAACTGAATTTGATAAATCACTATTAATAAATCACATTCAGTGTGATTTGAAAAGGTATTTCAAACAGATAAGTTAGTTCTGATGAGATTTTTTTCTAACTGAAACAAATGGTGAGTTGATGAGAACTGCTCTCATTTAGTGATGTCTGCATGTTGTCTGGGATAATCAGTATGTACCTTAGTCCGCTTTTATTTTTTACCTTCTTAAAACAAACCTATGTGGCACCGATGGAGGAGAACAAACCAGACTCAGAGAAGTACTACAGGGAAAATGTCTGCGCCATCACAACTCTAACATACAGAAATAATGCTTATAAATTTCGACACTTATTACATTGCCCATTAAAATTTCTTAACATATACAAATTAAAGAAGTCCTAGGCAACTGTAGAATTAGCATCCCACCTCTGAATAAAAAGATTATACTTTAAAAGTAATCATTTTGAAAAATATCTGTAGGATAATTGGAAAAGCCATCCTCCCACCTCAACCCCCCAAGTAGCTGGGACTACAGGCGTGCACCACCACACTCAGCTAATTTTTTAACTTTTTGTAGAGATGGGATCTCGCTGTGATGCCCAGGCTGGCATTGAACTCCTGACAAACAATCCTCCCATCTCAGCCTCCCAAACTGCTGGGATTATAGGCCTGAGCCACTGCACCTGCCTATCTATCTCTTTTCAAAACAAGCTCAAAATACTTTTGAAATACTAAACCATTTTTCAATCTATAAAAGTAAATAATGGCTACCAGATTTAATCAATCAAAATAAAAATGTATCAACATGACAATCATTTTCCCTAATATGACCAAAACAAATCCTATTAGAACAAGAGAAAACGCACTACCTAAAAACTCTATACTTTTAAAATAGAAACTTTAAATAGCTTACAAATAGTCACTTTTTACCAAAATCCTAAATACAAGTACCACATGCCCTATAGACAACACCCTCATTGTACAGGTTCCTTCTCAAAATTCAGGTTTTCTCAGGTCACCACTCCAGGTGCCCCCAGTGACTCGACACCGTACCTCAGAATCAACCCATCTCCATGACAGCATCTAAGGCACCACCGTCTACCAAACCTTCCTGCACTGACAGAAACGTCCCACATCTGCACAGTTCAACCCAGTATCCACTAGACATGTGACTACCAAGCACATAAAATATGACAGATGCAAGTGACGAACAAAATATTTTATGTACATTAATTTTTTTTTTTTTTTTTTTTGGAGACAGGGTCATCCAAGCTAGAGTGCAGTGGTGCAATCTCCGCTCACTGCAATGCCTCTCAGGCTCAAGCAATCCCCCCAACTCAGCCTCCCAAATAGCCGGGACTATAGGTGTTTGTCACCACGCCTGGCTAATTTTTGTATTTTTAGTAAAAACGGGGTTTTGCCATGTTGTCCAGGCTGGTCTTGAACTCCTGAGTTCAAGTGATCTGCCCACCTCGGCCTCCCAAAGTGCTGGAATTACAGCTGTGAGCCACTGCATCTGGCCTTAATTTTTATTTTAAAAATCACCCCAGAGTGGAGGGTGAGAGAGACAGCGCCCTGGGGTCATTACTCACATTTCATGCCCCTGGTCCTGGTTACCTCATAAGTAGGACCAATAACAACACATACGATCTGTTGTTAAAAGAATCAAAGGAGATAATCCGTGTGCGGAAAGCATCACTGCGTCTGACAATACGTGCTGAATGAGCAGCTACTATTAATTTTTAATTTAAATAACCCCCATGAAGTGAATGGCTACCACATTAGGGCAGAACTAAAATTTTGAACTTACTTATTCATTCGTCTACTTGTTTGTTATGTCTCCCTGACCAGCCCAGAAGATCCATGAAGGCAGGGCTATATATCGATTGCCACTGTGACACCTAGACAGTGCTTGGAGCGTACTCGGGCATCTAAAAATGTTTGTTGAATAAATACATCAACATCAAAAGCAAACTAAACACATTAGTAGGAAAGGAGTGCATAAAAGTATGGCTGTACAAGGCAAACAAAACGCAAACAGGAGGCTGGGCGCGGTGGCTCAAGCCTGTAACCCCAGCATTTTGGGAGACCGAGGCGGGCGGATCATGAGGTCAGGAGATCGAGACCATCCTGGCTAACACGGTGAAACCCCATCTCTACTAAAAAATACAAAAAACTAGCCGGGCGAGGTGGCAGGCGCCTGTAATCCCAGCTATTCGGGAGGCTGAGGCAGGAGAATGGCGTGAACCCGGGAGGCGGAGCTTGCAGTGAGCTGAGATCCGGCCACTGCACTCCAGCCTGGGCGACAGAGCGAGACTCCGTCTCAAAAACAAACAAACAAACAAACAAAAAAACAAAAACAAAAAAACGCAAACAGGATTGCCAATGTAAATCTCAGTAGAATTCAAGCCTAACTCATGAGAAAAAGATTCCCTTTAAACTAAAAACCATATGACCTACAAAAGATACAAGGTGTGAATCTTTATACACCAAATAACAAAGCATGAAAAGTAAACCCATAATAGTGGTAAACTTCAATTTTCTTCTCTTCCAAGCACAGAGAGAAGGCAACAATGAATATATTCATCAATATATTCACACATTCAAGCATCCTAAAGAAAACTAACGAAGTCAAAGTAACAGATGTATCTATCAAACTCTACACCCTGCAAAGAGCGACCACCCTTACTCAGTGGGAGGCTGTATAGGATGGTGTCTAACACTCTGGAATTCAAAGTCTTAGACCTGGCCCTGGCCCTGGCCCACCATTGGAGGTGAGGGAGACAGTGGCCTGGGATAACTACTCATCTTTCATGGGCCTGGTAGGCACAACAAGTAGACCAATCATAATATGTACCTCGTGTTGTTCTAAAAATCAGGACATAATCCACATGGAGAAATTACCACTGGGTCATGACAATTTGTGCAGAATGAGCAAGCTACTATTACTACATTATTAGCAATAGTTGACTACAGTCATATCATATATTAAAAATGATTTTATATTAAACCACAAAGATAAATTACTAGAATTCCCTAGGGCAGAAATTATAAAGGACTCATTTTGATGTCATAAAAGGAAAAAAGTAAAAATAACAAATATAAACCAAAACGCCTAAACACTTGTGGAGTTAAAAGCACTTCTGCCAGGCACGGTGGCTCACGCCTGTAATCCCAGCAGTTTGGGAGGCCAAGGCGGGCAGATCACTTGAGGTCAGAAGTTCAAAACCAGCCCGGACAACACGGTGAAACACCATCTCTACTAAAACATACAAAAATTAGCCAGGCATGGTGGTGGGCGCCTGTAATCCCAGCTACTCGGGAGGCTGAGGCAGGAGAATCACTTGAACCCAGGAGGCAGAGGTTGCACTGAGCCAAGACTACACCACTGCACTCCAGCCTGGGCAGCAGAGCGAGACTCCGTCTCCTAAATAAATAAATAAATAAAGCACTTCTATATACCTTATACATCATATGAAAAAACGAAAACTTTGCCCAGGTACAGTGGTTCACACCTGTAATCCTCAGCACTTTAGGAGGACTCCATGGAAGTATCACTAAAGCCAGGAGTTCAAGACCAGCCTGGCCAACAAAGTGAGACCCCGTCTCTACAAAAAAAAAAAAATTGTAATTTAGTCAGGCATGGTGGCATGCACCTGTAGACCCATTCCAGCCTGGGGGACACAGTGAGACCCTATTTTTTTTAGAGTGAGTCTGTAAAAATAATAAAAATAATAAAATAAATAAAGGAAACAAAAGAAAAAATAAAAGGGAAAGGCAAAGAAAGAAAGAGTCCATAAATCACAATCATGTAAGTAACACAAATCCAAACTTATGAGACATTCTCTGTCTTTAATGATTGCAGACTAAACACCCGACACTCACTTTTCCGATCCCTCAAGAATCTCTAAGATACAAGTTCATTTTATTAAATGATAATTGGAAAAAAAAAATCACCATTCACCATCAGTTATTCCTTTAAGATGGTTCCTTGTGCTCTATTTAAACATAATTTGTATTCCTAGTGCTATGCCCCAGTATTTCCCAGCAGGGAAAAAAAAGAAAAACAGAATTTATGCTTAAGAACCTTAAAAGAAACAATGACTAGCAAACTAAATAAAATAGAAAAGTAAATCAGTGAAGCAAGGAAGAAGGAAAATAAATTATCCAAAACTAGTGAGGAAAGGAAATAGATAAAGGAACAGAGTTAGCTAAGAATATTCCTGGAAACCCAGGTGCCTCTTGCAACTAAGATGAAAGACATAAGAAAACACACAAAGAGGCCGGGCACGGTGGCTCACGCCTGTAATCCCAGCACTTCGGGAGGCCGAGGCGGGCGGATCACGAGGTCAGGAGTTCAAGACCAGCCTAACCAACATGGTGAAACACTGTCTCTACTAAAAATACAAAAATTAGCCAGGTGTGGTGGCATGTGCCTGTATTCCCAGCCACTCAGGAGGCTGAGGCAGGAGAATCGCTTGAACCCGGGAGGCGGAGGTTGCAGTGAGCTGACATTGTGCCACTGTACCCCAACCTAGGTGACAGAGCGAGACTCCGTCTCAAGAAAACAACAACAACAACAACAACAAACCCAAAACAAACCTCACATTCAAAGAATGAGGAGGAAGTTTGTTCAAAACAAGAAAATCTAAATTTAAGAACATGGACTTTCAATTAAAGAAAAAAAAGATGGACTTTCAAGACAAAAAGACAGGGGTAAACTTAATATTGCCAAAAAAAAGATCAGCGACATCAACACGACCCTGGGGGCCTGTGGACAACTCCGGGCTGCAAGTGCAGAGCGTCCTTGCCAGATGCAGGTACCAGGACTGCCCCCATGGCCCCAAAGCACCCCGGCCTCCACGGCTGAGCCTGGGGGCTCTTGGAACAGGCTCTGTGTCCAAGATGGCAGACGTGGGTGCTCTCTGGAATCGTCAGAGAGGTCATGGTTTATGGTGTAAGGACTGAGAGCTGGGAGGGGGTTGTGTGTGGGGCTGTACTCTGAGGCCACCAGAGGCCTACGAATGTCATCCTGGGCACGCCGTACTTGTTGTGCCGTCTGAGTCATGCTGCCAGGGCAGAGTATCCGCCTCCCAGCCTGGGAGTGCTGAGAGCCAAATCCACTGCAGAGCAGGGGTGAGAGTCAGGGTCCCACCTCCTCTATCTGTCGGCAATCCAGAGGTGACCTAGGATAAAACCTCGAGAGTCCCAAACACACGGTCAACCCACAACACACCTCACAGACCAGGCGGTGACACACAGCCCCCTTCTCTCCCTCCCAGGTACCGTCATAGCTGCCAGCGTGTGATGGAAGGCAGGGTCCCTGGCCCCCGCTGAAGCACTATCGCCGGTCAGCAGGCTCATGCACCTTGGCCTGTTGCTCCTAGA